AGTCTTACAGTTAGTCTATATTGTTATTTGTTCTTGTTGCATGTATAATTTTTAAAATTTTCTTCCCCTGTTTCTCTAATCGATTTGTTTCCTTACTTCTCAGGATTTCTCATTGCGATCTCCACTCATTCGCGGGCATGGAAATTTTGGTTCTGTTGATGCTGATCCTCCTGCAGCAATGCGCTACACAGAATGCAGACTAGAGGTAGGTTTCCATGAATTGAATTTGCTATCTTACAAGAGTACCAATTGCTGGATATTATATTTTATAGCTAATGAGCTCTGATGCTTTTGCTCTTCTTTCAGGCACTCGCAGAGGCAATGTTGTTGGCAGATTTGGAACAAGATACAGTCAGTACCACTCTTTAAGTTGTCCTGTTATGTTTAGTTAAATGTACTATATTTTAGCTGTTGCTTCTAAACTGGAGCTTGCACATGTTGTAGGTCGATTTTATTCCAAACTTTGACAACTCACAAAAAGAGCCATCCTTACTTCCTGCTCGTGTTCCAAACTTATTATTGAACGGTGCCTCAGGGATTGCGGTATGACCATGATCTCTGGTGTACTTTGACTATTGCTGCATGGTTGGTCAAGGCTATTATTCCATCATTCATTTGAAGTCCATTTTATGTTTATATTGTGCCTGCAGGTTGGAATGGCAACAAATATCCCTCCACATAACCTTGGGGAGTTGGTAGATGCACTGTCTGTCTTGATTCACAATCCTGAAGCAACGGTATCATTCTATGAGGAAAAAATAAATATCTTATGGATTCTTTTGAAGTATCTTTTGAATGAAAGTTGTCGTAAAGTAGATTTGTCTTGTTAATTTAGTCTTAGCCAATCCTTCAGTCATGTTTTTCTACTTCTATGGTTTCTTCTTCCTTGCTAAGTTTGAGTAGTGAAACTGTCATTATACATTTTTCTGTGTAGTAAGACTCTCCGGTATCTGTTAAATACGGTGTATTTTATGCAAATGAAAATGTGATAATAAATAAGATTCTATGTGAAGTTGGAGAAAAATGAACCGAATATTGCCTTTTTTTTTTTTATGTGAAGACTACAAAGTTCAAATAATGTTGCAGAATAATATAAATTAGTGTTTGTTCTCTTGTTATGATAAATATTATACAGAACCATTAAACTTCTTATACTAATATAATATATGTCTTGGATCCAGTTTCTCATCCAGTATGCATCACTATTTTAACAGCTGCAAGAATTGCTCAAATACATTCCCGGACCTGACTTCCCTACTGGAGGAATGATAATGGGTAACCTTGGGTAAGTTATTGCATAAGCACATTTTTCCAGACTACAAAGTTTCCTTATTTCTTGTCTCCTTCTCCTTACTCATACTTGTACGTAGCCCATGTGATGCACGCCACAATGATAATAAATTGTATCGATTAGGATAAAAGTAGATTTGACTACTGGTATTAATTTTTATCTTTTATTTTATATTTATGATATATAATAGTTCAACATACGATTTATATATTTATTTCACCTGTTATAAAATAGCTTCATTTCAGACTTCCTATTTAGAATTAAGTAAAATGAAAATTAACATACTTAAACATTATTAATAAATAATACTCACAAAAAATACTTCTCTCTCTTGTACGTTTAACTTATTATAATATATTATTTTGATTCTTAAATAAATAATAATAAAGTTAAAAAATTGTTGCGAATATTATAAACTAACAATTAATTTAAAAATAATGTAGTGTATACTATTTTAAAGTTATGAAATTTATTAATTTTTAATTACGTCAAAATTATCTTAATATTCTGTAATTTAATCATGTATGTTATAAATATTTGAATTTTCTTTCTAATCTAATAAATCATACGACAATTCAACACATGATGATTTATCATCATAATTTATAACAATATACATCATAAATATTATGATTCTTTTTTTCTAAGCTAAAAATTTACACCATTATTTGATGGATGACTTATTGAATTTATCATTATAATTCATGATAATATACATAATAAGTATTTTATCTTTATTTTTATTTTCTTCCTTAGTTAATAATTACATCTTCGACAGACGATCAATTGGTTTGTCATCATAGTTTGTAACAATATATATCATAAATATTTATTTTATTTTTCTAAACTTACAATTTGAATGTTAGTTTGATAGATGACTTATTGTTTTATATAATTTATTAAAATACATGCTATAAATATTTTAATTTTTCTAATAATTTACGGGGCAGTTCAACAAATGACCCATTGATTTTTCATTTTAATATTGTATATACTAAAATATTATATATACGTGATCTTTGAATAATTTTTACTTATATTTTTATATTTTTTAGCATTAATTTTTTTAACTCATGAATGATAATCATAGTAATTACTATTTTAAATTATTTTATGCTAAATAAATTGTATTATACATATGTTTAATTGTATGAATAACATTGAGACTAATTTCTTATTTGTAAATCAATATTCAAAAATAAATTTAAGTTCCTTTTTTTATATAGATTAATCATAAACTTATTAATACTTTAAAAATAAATATCTTTATTTATACATAAAATACAAGTGTCAAATCTAAGATCCTAAAATAAAACTTAATTTAATATGACATATAAAAAACAGATAATAGATACACATATTATTAAGCTGTTGAAAAGAAATAGCATTGATGCTTAGTAAGAAAAATGGAAAAGTAAAAAAGCAGACAACATATGGAAACTAAATAGAAAAAAAAAATCATATTTAGGAAATTTTCTTATCTATGCGTTTTGAATTTCATATATTTTTTTAATACAAATAATTATTCTTGGAGTGATTAATCTATAGCCATGTAATTTATATTTTTTTCGAATCAAATAAAATTTTAGATTAGGTGGAAACTGAATAAATTTTTCAAAAGTTTAATATCAAATTATTGATATCACATCACTTAAACATAAAAATAGATAAGATAGATATAAACTAATTGATTGAAAACTTTTTAGGAAGTTATGCAATAGATTTAGATCAATTTTTGATATCACACTATGTAAAATAAAATAAAAGTCTCACCATGAATGATAAACAAAAAGTACCAAAAGAAATAAAATAAAAGTAGAAGAATGATTAAAAAAATTTCCTTATTTGGTAAGCAAGATTTTTTTGGTGGGAAACTTTACTATTTTTAATATATCCAAACATTTATATATATATATATATATATATATATATATATATATATATATATTTTCTTATATTATGAATTTGTTATTCTAGTATTTTAGAGACGTATCAAACTGGACGAGGACGCGTGATAATTAGAGGGAAAACTGATGTTGAGTTGCTGGATCCCAAGAGCAAGCGTTCAGCAATTATCATAACAGAGGTACCATCTTTGTCCACCTAATGTTCCATAGTTCCATTATTGGAATTTGTTTCTAGTTCCTTTAGAAGATTTATTTGATCTTCCATGTCAATTCCTTATTCTGATTGAAACTGAAACAGATACCGTATCAGACCAACAAAGCATCCCTTGTTGAGAGAATTGCTGAACTTGTTGAAAATAAGGTACTCGTTGATTTGATATGCTAATGCTACTCCTTGCTTGAGCTTTAAGCTTCTTATGAATGATAAGTAAACGTAATCAAGTTGAGTTGCATTGTATCATCCCATTAGAAAAGAAATTGCAGTTACCATGTATGTATGGATGTATGCATTGGATTTGTACATGCAGGTGCACATGTGGCCTGCCGGCTTATTTTGCCATCTTCTGAACTATCTTATGCTGTTTCTTGACAGTGTAATCTGCCTTTGAAATAAATATTGAAACTTGGAACGTATATTTTGCTTATCCTCTTACATATTAAGTACTCTGAATCCATTATCACATACTATGTATTGAATGGGCAAGTTGTCATATGTTTTCTGGCATTCCAGATTCTGTTATTTTTTATCCCAGTTAAGAAGCATAATATTTAGAAGAGAGAGAAATTTGTAGGATTTTTGGACATCACAGAAGCATATAATCAACTTCATGAAGAAGTGATTCTGTTCAAGCTAATTATTATGGTTTCATGATGTCAATGTTAATTTTGTTCTGGACCATGTGCTTTATGCTTTATCCATAGTTGAGAATTGAGATAGGTACATGTGCCCCCCACTAACTCAGTCATGCAGGCAAATAGCTGAAGAGTTTCAATATTCATCCTTCTTTTTCTGGATTGCTGCTTAGAAATCTTCCATTACTTAATTGTTCTTTCTTTACTTTATTGGTTTCACTTAAAACTTATGGATTGTGCTTTCTCTCTTTAAGGGTTTGGAAGGAATAAGTGATATACGTGATGAGAGTGATCGATCTGGAATGCGCTTAGTCATTGAGGTAATGGTTTTTAATTGGTGAATGTGTATTTAGTTTACCATTGCTGATGAAATTGAAATGGCACAGTTTCCAGGTCTAAAATGTATATACATCCTTTTGATTTAGTAGATCTTTGGTTCATTACACTTTCTTTCAACGGTTCAATTTTTCTTATCTCCAACTTTTCAGCTTAAGAGGGGATCAGATCCATCCATAGTGTTAAACAATCTTTATCGCTTAACTGCACTGCAGTCCACATTTAGCTGCAACATGGTGGGGTAAGTAGTTTGAAAAACTGGAGATTTCTATATTTTTTTTTGACAAGAAATGACATAAAATTCTTTTTTAGGCATTTTATGAACAATGAGAGAAGTGAAGTTACTGTTTATGTTTCTGATCAGTTCAAATTAAAAAAATGATTTGTTATTATTTGCTTGGGTATGAGCTGGTACTATTCGTATTTAATCCTCATGTCTTCCTCGAATTTATCTGAAAAATTAAAGAAAGTTAAAGCTGCGGTGTAAGGCTTGATAGATGTAAGAATAAGCAACAAGGTAATCTATTATCACACCTTTTACTTAAAATATATTTATGAAACGACAATCCAAAAACTCCGCGACATGTCCGTGGCTCTAAAAACGTGCAAGAATTATTGGAGAACTTGTTCATTCATTTCAAGTTTAAAAAGCCATAGGACATATTCGGATATGGTGTAATCCAACACATGTGTTGAGGGCAGATACTGATAAGTTAGAACCACGTTCAGAAGTGAGGCTGTTTGTGGGATCTCCCCTACCCTTTCATCAATTTCCTTCCTGTGCTTTTTGTCCATCTCAGCCATGTTATTTGCCCAATTTATCTTCCCTTGAATTGAAACAAGAAGATTGTCTGATATGGTCAATCTAAGAAGTGTGCAGTCTTTCATCATAAATCAACTGAAATATGTTAGGTCAACAGCATCTTCGGATTATTAATCAAAAATCTAATAAAATAATGCTAAACATGTAGTAGCATGCACATTTGTTTTTCTCCTATTGCTACATTAATGCTGATATTTTATACACACATACACTAAGACACATATCTACTAGCATTGATATCAAATATCATATTACGGTTTCGTTAATCAACATTTGCAAGAGGTCAATTATATCGATCCTTTAATCGTTCTTTTGAAGACAATTTAGTCATTTTTCTTTACCCAACTACTTGTCGGCTTGTGGCTTGAGTTGGGAATTCTTTGTTTTACCTTTGAGTAGTCGGCTTGTGACTACCATTGGTTCTTTTAGAATTTTCCGATATTGTACGTAACTGATTAGTCCTATAGAAATTAAAGTAAGTATAAAAAAATCCAAGTAATTTTATATTATTATTAGTTTAGGTAATAATAATAATTCTAAACCATTATGATTTTTATAAAACTGAAAATTATGGTAATAATTATTCAAACCAAATGCCAATGATTGCAATTGCAATAACAGTTGTCAATAATTTTAAAAAACAAGCAATAAAAATCATGAAAGTTGATAATGAGGTATGATAACAATAATAGTTACTAATGTTGTCTGTTCCGAGGGATAATACATGCTTATTTGTTAGATCTTGTAAAATTTGAAATTTCTGTACATATTGATAATACAGTGAGCATAATTATCAGGATTTAGTTGGAAAACATGCATGATTCATGCAACATTCCAAATTTAATCTTTGAAAGAAAAAGGATATGTAGAAAAATGCAGGGCATTCTATTTAATTAGCGTCATACGGACGTATTCATGTTCTGTTGATGCTATTTTTTTTATGTTTCTCCTTTTTCTGTAATTGGTGTTTTATGGAAGAAGCGCACTCATAGTTCTATCCTGTATCATTGTCTATGTTCCTTTCAGTTATTTAAAAGACCAATTTTATATTGCATTAGATCTCTGACTGTTTATTCTTCCCAGGATCCTTAATGGCCAACCGAAATTAATGGGACTAAAGGAATTACTTCAGGTTATTAGCTCTTGTGTTCCTTCGATGATTTCTTAGGCAGTGAAGTAGTGTTTTGGATTAAATAGTTCATCATTTACTTAATATTGGGGAATTACGATCGTTGATGATATCATACCTATATTTATGCTAAATAGTAAATATGTTAAAAGAGTTATTTGATGACATGAAGATGTTAACTTTATCTTGGTGAACAGTGATGCTGCGTTAGTATTGTAGTTGGTGTATTTACCTACTTTTCTAAATTTCTATGCTCAGGCCTTTCTGGATTTTAGATCTTCCGCGGTTGAAAGGCGCACACGATATAAGTTATATCAAGCGCAAAATCGTTATCATATTGTTGAGGTATGCTGACTATTCCACAAGGTCACCGGCTTATATTGTCGATTAACATCTTATATCGTACTGAAAGTCACTTGATCCACTTCTGAACTTTCGAAAGTTAATGGTATATGGGTAATAATCTTTCCCTGAATCAGATATCATGTTGGTCATCTTGCTATTCCAGTTTTTTTCATTCTTCTTATTTTATGCATATGTACTGGTGTAGTAGTAACTGATGTTCTTTGGCTTGCTTTTGGGTTTGTTGGCATTCTAAGGGCATTATAACAGGACTTGATAACCTGGACAGAGTCATTGAGGTAATCCGGAATGCTTCTAGCCATGTGCTGGCTTTGACTGATTTAATGAAGGGTAAGTTGAGCATGTCCGCGTAATATTCAAGCTAGATAGGTCTAGCCATGGATTTGATCAACTCTGTCTGTCCTCTTTAAGATAGCATCTGCATTTAGTTTAGAAATGGTCTTCCGAGTTTTTTCATGATATGTAATTTACTAATTAAATTTGTCTTTCCATTTATGAAATGATTTGGTTGATGTTTCAGAGTTCAACTTGACCGATAAGCAAGCAGAGGAAATATTGGACATAAGCCTCAGACGGCTAACATCTCTTGAGGTATTTCCGTACCTTGTGAGTTGTGACATTTGTTTCCTACTGCAGTTGTTCTTATCTTCTGTTATAATGCTCTCTCTCTCTCTCTCTCTCTCTCTCTCTCTCCAGAAAAAAAAGTTCCTTGATGAAGGAAAATCTTTGTCTGAACAAATATCTAAGCTACAAGAGGTTCTTTCAAGTAAAAAGCTAATACTTGAGGTAATTTTCTTAGTAGAACCATATATTACGCACATCTATACTCACATTAAATTCCATTATCAAGCTCATTATACTACCTCATTAGTTGAAATTAAATAGCCTTTCACGATAGTCTGATGGTAACTTTAATCCTTCCATCCATTAGAGAAGTTAAACATATTGCTTCTTGTTATATATATTTTGTGGTGAGTTTGGAATAAGATGTGTGAACTTACTGTTTTCTTGCAAAACCAAAAGAATTGAACTCCTTATTTTGCGCGATTATTTTCTAGTTAGAAATTCAATCTCTATTGGCGTTCTGTTTATTCACTTTTAATGTTATGCTCTTCAGAAAGTGATTTGTCTAACTGATGCTGATGCAGGCTGGTTTGTCTTATCAGCGTTTCTTATTGTCTTATCAGCAGTTATTATTATATTTCTTTATTTTTTCTGGTACTTAGATGATAGAAATTGAAGCAAAAGAAATAAAGAACAAATTTTTTACACCAAGGCGTTCAATGCTTGTGGACACTGATTGTGGTCAACATGAAGATATAGATGTGATCCCCAATGAGGAAATGCTACTGGTACATAATCTGTAGAGTTGATTCCCAGAAACAAAAGTATCTACAGTGTCCTTACTAAAAGAATCATATTATATTACCTTCAGGCACTTAGTGAAAAAGGCTACCTAAAAAGAATGAGGCCGGATACTTTCAATCCTCAGAAACGTGGGACTATCGGGAAATCAGTTGGGAAATTGAGAGTAAATGACACAATGTCTGATTTCATTGTATGTCGCACGCACGATCATGTCCTCTATTTCAGGTACTTGATTCCACATGATCTTGTTGGACTCTCTTTTAGCAACTGATATCAAAGTTAGTCTCCACAGAAAATCTATTTGTTAATCAAAGCATTGCATTTATTTTTGAATATGTAATTTCAGCACTTATTTGAGATTTCAAGAAGAGAAATGTATGTGTATATATGTTTTTATGTGTTCACACCACTCACCTACCTGTAGTCATAGAACATTGTGCAAAGTAATAGCATGTAACAATGCTCATATAAGTACTATGCATTATAAGTGTGACTGAGTGAACTGGATATGTATTGGCCTGACTTTGAAACACTTTCTACTCTGCCTGGTGGGTCCATTTAACTCATTACGGGGAATAAGAATTTTTTTCTTAGCAATGCCACTTTGAGTTGCTCCAACAAGTGACATGATAATTTATTATATATGCTCTAGGCTGATGCTGCATCTTTCTTATACTGTAGAAATGTTGGTGTTTCTTATGCACATTATCTCTGTTTGAGCGGTACTTATTTCGTCTACCGTCGTGAAAATAAAAGATACATATTTTTCCCCATTATGGTGCTTGGTCATCAAGAAGTTTATTTTTATCGAAGATGAACTTTTTTTGGTTATGAATAGTTCTTCATTACTATGCATGCATTTTTCTGTTTGCAGTGATGAGGGAACAGTATACTCAGCTCGTGCATATAAGATCCCAGAATGCAGCAGGGTTGCTGCTGGCACACCTTTAGTCCAGGTATTGCCCTAACATACACTGGAATTTTCAGCTTATATACTCTAGTTTATTAAGTTTGATCTTCAAAACTTTCTTGATCCAGATGTTATCTCTCTCTGATGGCAAGAGAATAACATCATTTGTTCCAGTTAGTGAGTTTGAAGGGGACCAGCATCTTATGATGCTAACTATGAACGGATATATCAAGAAGGTTTCGTTAAACTATTTCTCATCAATAAGGTCGACCGGTATCATAGCAATCCAACTGGTTTGTACAACACTTTGCTCCTTGGAAATTTAGATATGATCATATGATGGGATAGTGCAGTCTAATCAACAAATTTAAACGACAGGTTCCTGGTGATGAGTTAACATGGGTGAGGCAGTGCACAAATGATGATTTTGTGGTGATGGCCTCACAAAATGGCATGGTGATTTTGTGTTCTTGCGAAAATGTAAGCTAATTTTTACATTTCCTTCCTACTAGTGCATTTTCATCATAAGTGGCTATTCAACAAGATGCTGAGAGGTGGAATTTAAAAACATTTTATCAAATTTTTTTTTTTCGATGCCTTTTAGTTCTACCTGTATATATGATTCCCTTGGTCATCAAGTCTTCGACATGCTTAGTATGCTAACTTTATGGTCGTCCATTTTTTTTATTAAGGATAAATTTTTAAGTCTCCCAACCTTGGCGCCCTATAGACTTCCACAAATTGTTTCACAAACACATGTTTGAAATAGGAATTCACCCTTCCTCTATTCTACCCACTTCTTGTGAGATATATTGGCGAATTCCATGAGGTGACCAATCTTAATGGAAATTAACCGCTTTCCTACACCAATGTGCTTCATGAAGTGAAGTGTATTTTTGTGTGCAGTTGGTTGGAAAGAAATTATCAATATTTAGATGTGAGCTAAAAAAATGTCATAGTGGATGACAGTAAATTAAAATTAAAGTTGTTACAAACTCTAGGTTTTAGACAACGTCCTCCATTGGTGGGGATGACCGTATATATAGAGTTAGCTGTATGAGTTAGGCCTATAATATATTGAACACCTTCCTTCATACTCTAGGAGGTGGAGGATCTGAAGCGTTAGTTTGAGCAAGTGTCTAGTTTTTGCTTTGTTGAAAAAATTTCACTTGCAATTTTGAGGGCACGTACGAAGAACAATTATTTTGTGATGACATTGAGACCGAGTAAAGAAAGAATTGACACCAATGTGTTTTGTAAGTTCATGCATCACATGATCATAGCAATTGATCATAGCAATTTATATGGCTCCAATACTATCATACAAAAGAGTTAACACAAAGAAGAGATGTGGAAGCATCACATGGAATACGAAAATTGGCTAACAACCATTGAAGTCGTATTATTTCTAAAGTCGTAGTGACAAGTGCTCAAAAGTTTTGCGAGCACAAACTAAGTTACAGTTTTTCGTTTCTTGGACTTCCACATTAGAAAAGCAGAATTAAGAAAATGCAATGACCAGCGACCGAACAGATTTTGTTGGTTACATGTCCAAGTAGAGTTTGAGTAAGCATAAACTTGAAGCGAATTATTATGAGCATAAAACAAATATTGAGATGATATTCACGTTAAGTACCATAATACACGAAGCATATGTCCAAAATGAAATGAAGTAGGAGCACTCCACCTGATTCGGATGGACCAGCTAGAGTACTCATCCTTCAGATTGGACGACCGCCACCACCTGACCTGACCCTGACTAGACTTGTTGTTTTGGACCACATGCCAGGTCATTTCGACCAGGACGACCTTTTATGAGGACTTGATTTTAGATTCACATCGGATATTTTGTGATCCTTGTACTTTTTGTCTTTCTATTTTGATGTTTTTCTATGTATCTTTGACAGTGATGTAGACCATTGACTTTTTAGCCTTCTCTGGGCCATTATATTCACAGGTCGGGGGTGTAGCCTCAATCCCCCATCCCACTCTGGGATGTTTATATAAAAAAAATAAAATGAAGTAGGAGCACTCACCAACTGACTCGGTATATGGACAACATGAGCAATTGGGTAATATAGTAAGGTAAACCAAATTGCCAGCAATATGTAGATATCGAGAGGGATCCATTAGGTGGACCATTGACGATGCTGCAAGTAAAGGTCCATAGGTGTTGCAGTTGTCCAATTAGTAGCAATACTAGAACGAGTAAAGAGATCTTGTATGTATTTGTATTGAGGAAGATAATAGCCTTTGGTAGAAAACATCACTTCAATGCCTAAGGAATAGCTTAGAGGACCGAAATTAGACATTTGAAATTGCTAACCAAGTTGCTTTTTTACATGAGAAATATATCACGCATCATCTCTCGTAATTACCATATCATCAACATATAAAAGTATAGTATGTCTATGTGGAGAGAGATGAATAAATAATTTAGGGTCATGATCGCTGGGAAAAACCATCAATGCTCGAACCGAACACGTGGAGTTTGAACATATGAAGCACAACAAGGAAGACAAACGTGTTTGGAGGGGGCATTAACACTTGAGGGTGGTTGCATATAAACTTCCTCATGCAAATCACCATGTAGAAAAACATTTTTAACATCAATTTATGATATGGTCCAAGAATGAGTAGCAGCCATTGGAATTAGAGTACGAACAATAGTCATGTGAGTAATAGGAGCAAAAGTCTCATCATAATCTCATTTCTGAGTCTGGTGTAAACCTCTATAAACAAGACATTCTTTACATCTATAAGTGAAACCACTTAACTTGGTCTTAATCTGACACCCTTATAGTTGAGAGGCACGACATATGAAGATAATTAAATAAGCTCCCAAGTGCTAATACCACTGCAACATGCTAGTGCGGAATACTCGAAGCTTACTGGTAAGTGGAGGACTCATCAATATAGCACTCACACGTGGAAAACCCAACCTGTCAGAAGGCTCAATAATTACACGATCACGCAATTTATGTATTCGGCTAACTTGTGACTCCATGGACTCCAAGAATAACACGTGATTCATCAGAAGCAACAAAATCATCAAGGATGATGGGAGCATTAGGACAAACTAAGAGAAGTAGAATGAGGTGGAAGCGTTGCGAGACCTATGAGGCGACGAGTATAAACTTATCTAATAGGTGCTTTATATAATTGAAGGCTAGTCAGAAATAATTTGTTGAGGCTCATCATGAGTGGTTGGGTTTATGAGGTGGTGGAGATGCAGGGGCATGGCATCATCGGTAAAGAAAATAAGAGGAAGACAAAGATTCTGTAGAAGAACATAACATGTTGGTTGTGTGGAAGGGTCTTTAAAGGATGGTCTTCCACAAAGGTTACATTATGAGATAAACGTATGCGATAAGAAGAAGAATCATATCAACAATAAGATTATACCCAAAAGATGCTTGCAACAACAATAACTCTTATGCTCAGGACTATACCCAAAAGACGCTTGCAAGTGACTGGCATTCAATTTAATGTGCTTATGAGATGCAAACAAAACATAACATGTACACTCAGAAACTCAGAAGATGGAGATAGTTGGGTAAGTACCAAAGAGCACCTCATTGTTGGATAGTTTGGATGACAACTTTCAGTGACAAGATAAACAACTATAGAACAACATACCTAAAGAATAAGCAAGAACAAAAGAGGCCACTAGAAGGGTTAGAGCAGTGTCAATCGTGTATCAATGGACTCAAATTCTACCCTTACTTCCATGACAAAGAGCACCTCTTTTGTGCATTGAGGTATCGTGGAGAACAATGGTCTTATCAAACGTTTAGTACTTATCAATGGTTGTTTAATTATAAGAATTTGATTTGATGCATAAGTGTGCAAGCGTGCACAACTATCCTATACATAGTGTTGTTGCTAGTATGATCACATCGTATTGGCTCCAAAAAGAAGAAACGCTCATAATCATGAACTGTTTGACACTATTTACATTGCCAGTCGTCACTGTCAGGTCGCTGTATTTTGGTTTCAACATCATTACTATTGGCTTTTCGTTTGAAAAGATAGGCCATTATTCCTCAATACGGTTTCCAAAAAAAAAATACTCTCAATACCATCAAGAGTGATTTAGAGAAATTGCATTGGGTTATGACATGATTCGACGTTGTATGACAACAAATATTCCTTCGCAATGGGCGGACAGTATGCGGACAATGACGTATCAAGCGAGCAGTGAAGCCGCGACGAAGTATAAATGAAGTTACTGCGATGCCTAGGGCTTTAAACGAGTTAACTGAGCTCGAGCTCAGAGGTGCTCAAGCTTGAGGCTTAACGAGCCAAAAATCGAGCTTGAGCTCGACTCGTTTATCATTATTAACGAGTCGAGTTCGAACCGATCTCGAGCTTTGACGAACTGAATTATAGAATATTATATAATAACTCTCTTTTCGAGCTTTATCGAGCCGATCCAAGCCATCTTGCCTCGTTAGCGAAATGAGCTTTAAGTGAGCGTGAGCTCGAGCTCGAGCTCGGCTCGTTTATCATATGAGCCGAGCCAAACTCGAGCCTTAACAAGCTGAGCTCACGAGCGGCTCGTTTCGTTTTACATCTCTATGAGCTGCGTAATACCATGTAAAAAACGAGCAATGGCAAGAAACAAGAATTGACGAGTGCCAGAATGGATTAGAATAAACTAACCCTATCCCTAATGAATGGGTGTTGTGAAAAAGGCAAAAATTGGGACACCAAAATCTCTTAAATCACAACAGATCTCTGGTAAAATGCCCAAATGTCTGTTACATACCGAGCAGACAGAAGTTAAAATAGTTAGCTAGAAAAAAGATCTGGCTAGACACAAGCCAGCGCGTGCGGTAGGCTGTAGACTTTGCGGCGGATCGTGTGCAAGTGACCAGGTCTATCATTGGACAAGGAGACGATTGGTGCTGAAGGTTTGATCTGCATTTTACCCTATTTGTGTTGTTGCGATACCATGTTACAAACCTAGGGTTTTAGACAACTTCCACTGGTGGGGATGACCATATATATAGAGTTAGCTATATGGACCTTGGCATATGGTATATGGGCTGGGACTAGTCTATTTAACAAAAGTTATGGGTCCTTTAGATGTAGGGTTTGACTTAAAACTTCACAGGCATGGCGACAAAATTCATTGAGTATATTAGCTTACAATTGATTCCTTATCTTTATTGCTCGATTTAAAATTTGTTTCTACTTATTAAAAAGAGTTAAAAACTCTTTTTATTTGGAGTAATTTGAAACTGTTGCTTAACTTCACTCAGATCCAGAATCTTCTACCCGAATGCATGTAATATTATATTTATTTCGCTCTAACAAGTTTCGTCTCCTTTAACTTACTGTCTTTTAGATTAGAGCGCTTGGAAGGACTACTAGAGGCGGAATAGCCATGAGGCTTAAGCCAGGGGATAAAATGGCGAGCATGGACATAGTGCCTGCTGCATTGGGCAAAATGTTGGACAGAGGCTCAGAGACACCGGAGAACCTGTATATTCTCAATCATTTATCATATATATGTACATCTTATTATTCCAGCATAGACATTACTATCTCTATTCATTATGACCCTGTGCTTCGGGCCGAACATATTCCCATCTTTTATTTCTCAATCTTTAGTTCTCTGGTGGAAACAAATTCCAAATTATGCGTTTTATCTAACTACTTGCATTTTTCAGTTTCTCATAGTATGCTTCTTTAGTTCAGTATTTGTATTATCTTTATGAAAATAATCTCCTCAGTTTCCCAAATTATGTGTTACATGCAAATCAGTTCTTGACTATTTCACCAGGTTCACTTCATTTGGTGATCCTTCCGTTCCATACTTCCATCAACAATTTTGTTATGCAACATACAAGAAATCAAATTCTTGCATTACATCTCAAATGTATTCTTGGTTGTATTTTGTATTCGATGTCCGCATTAAAGGATGGGTTTTATACTAGTTTTAGGAGAAACGAAGAATACCTTTTCTGGTAACTTCGTTTGGATGTCATGATTATTGTTTAGTTTGTGTTCACATTCGTTTTATTTGATGCTGCTTGATACTTGAAAGTTTTCCACCTACAAACCTCAGAATATATTTTACCTGTGTAAACTCTGAAAATCTATTTTTTATTTGTTGATGAAGTGGCAGGGGTCTTGCGGGTCCTTGGCTGCTCTTCATATCTGAGAATGGCTATGGAAAGCGAGTTCCTCTTGCTAGCTTTCGAACGTCACCGCTCAAAAGAGTTGGTTTGAAAGGTTACAAGGTAGGTTACATTCTCATCAGATTACTTGGGGACTAGTGTAGAGGACAGAGTTTATGGCATCATAGTGAGTTTTACTTTTGATTAACTGCATTGTAATTGTCAATTTTTTGATTCGTTGCAGGTTGTGGCGGAGGATCGTTTGGCTGCTGTATTCGTAGTGGGTTTCTCCGTAGGAGGTGACACATGTGCTAAAATTTGCATTTCTTCTCTAAGAAATTGAGTTTTAGTAATTAAAAACAACTTATCTAATGGTTTAATCAGAGGATGGAGAAAGTGATGAAGAAGTAGTGCTGGTCAGCCAAAGTGGAACCGTGAACAGGATCAAAGTTCGGGATATCTCCATACGGTCCCGATTTGCAGGGTAGGTACTCGACTGTTTTGGTACTTATTGTTGAGGGTTGCATAGGTGTGTTCTTCAAATTTCTTAACAAAATCAGGAGGGATAATAAATGTTCATTTTCTGTCTATCCTACAAGTGGAGGTTCAGTAAAACCTTCGATCCATATCTGCTTATTAGTTCCATGCCCATATTCTTGTTATTTGCCTGTTAGGAAAGGCAATAAAGTGTGATTCCTTCGTCTGAGTTGATTGACTGTATACAAAAACCTTTCTTGTAAACTCTGTTTGAGTTAACTGTATATACTAGCCGTTCTTGTAAACTATCGACATTTTTGCGTGTGGACACGAGGAAATTAAGATTTCTACATATTTACATAATTTTTCTTGTGCAGGGGTGTGATTCTGATGCGCCTGGAGCATGCCGGAAAAATTCAGTCAGCTTCCTTAATATCAGTAACTGAGACCGTTAATGAGGAGGAATTTCTGGCGGCCTCAGTATGAGTCAACGTAACATTTTGAGCACTTTCGTAATTTCCTAGTGTACTTTCAAATTTTATGTTCTCTGCAACCCTTTGGCACACTGATGACTAATGTACATATACACACGGTTTCCTTTGCTACCTCCTTTTTTTTTTTTTTTTTTNNTTTTTTTTTTTTTTTCCTGTTTGCTACCCTTTGACTAACTGTCATCAATGGCGATTAAAGCCTCTCAAACTGGCATACGTTAACGCAGAAAAAGAGAGAAAATTTGTCCAGCGGAACTGGAAAACGCAAGTGGGAATTGGGCTCTCCTCGCTGCGACGCAAATTTTTCTTTCAAATTTATAAATAAATTAAAAGAGGGCACAATCTGTAACATATATTAAATATTAACCCATGTACAAATACTTAAAAATTGATAATACTAATTTGTTTACCATTGATATGTAACTTTTTGTTATCAAACAAATTAATTTAAAAAAGAAAAGAAAATAACAATGCAAATTGTTGTAAGATTGTATTATTTGTATATGAAATTAGTGTATGAAACTATTATAAAAGAACTTATTATATTTGAAAATAAATAATGTGTTTGAGAAATTCTAACGTCTCACTTTTAGTACATTAAATTTCTTGAATATTTTTTTTTTAAAAAAAAACATTTGAAAGCTCAAGGGCGCTACTACTTTAAAACTAAATATAACTTCGAAAACTTTAAAACATGCACATCATCATATCATAGCATAGCTCATTGCATACTTGTCATACTTGCATAATAATTTTGATCATGAACCAAACATAATACTTGCTTCATAGTGTCTCATCATCATAAAAGTAATAAACTCATGCATTGTTGTAGCGTCCCGTTCGATTATTGGATTTTTTAAATTATTTTAATATATATAAAATATGATTCTGTCGCCGGTTAATTATTTCCATTTTTCCGATTGTTGTCGGAGTTCCGGAGTTATTTTTTTTTTCGAAACGATAGAAATATTATAAATCGAAAAGCACAAATGTGCGAATATACAACAGTCAACGACTGAATACACAACAACCAACAACTGAAAAAAGAACGAAAAAAAGAAAAAAAGAGGATAGGTCTTCAGAAG